ACGGGCCTATTGTGTTGGGGGGGGGGGGCCCGGCAGGGAGGCGCTGAGGCCTGGTGTGTGTGTGTGGGGGGCACGGTCTAAAGGAAGAAGCCACAGCAGCTTCAGGAAGCTCTACTGCCCCAAGCCACCTTTGCAGCCACTTGTGGCCAAGGCTCCCTCTACGCCGTGGAGTCTTGTGAGCAAAAATCCTACTTGGTGAGCTCCTGGCATTAAAGCTGTGAGCGAGCGGTTTGGCTCCTACATAAATTAGTTTGCTCTGGAGCCCCATCCTTCCCCAGCAGAGAACTCCAGCGCTTCCTCCGCCAAGTCTCAGAGTCAGCAGTTGAGGAAGGAGGCAGAAGAGAAGAGGGAGAGGAGAGCCAGAGCAAGCCAGAGGGTGGATTCAGGGGGGGGGGGCGGGACTCACTTGCACTGCTCCGGCTGGGGGCTGCCCAGGAGGGGGCAGGACATCTCCATCAAGGCATTTGCAAAATTCTGGGGAGAAAGAGAAGCAGGCAGAGTGAGAAGGGGCAGAGTCCTTCCAGCCGGAGATGCCGAGGCTGACCCCCCCCCCGGCACACGCCGCCCTGGAAGCTGGCCCCCTCCGCGGGACTGCTTTGCGGACGGGGAGAGGGGGGGCACGCCTCGCTTGGTCAGAGATGCCACTCTGGCTGCACACATGCCCAGGGCTGCTGCCGCAGCGCACAGGAGATGCTTTGAATAGCTCCACAGGACTGGCAGCCTCTCCAACCCCCCCCCCCGCCAATGCCCCCAAAGTACAGGTTCCCCGTCGTCCCCCACCCCCACACACACACACACGCACGCAGGCAGGCAGACACACTCAGCAGGCCCTCACCTCTCCGTTCTCTGGGGGGTCCCCACTTCCAAATGTGCTGGTCACCACCAAGACAAGGGTCTCGTGCTCCAGGGAAACCACGTCATATTCATCCATGCACAGCACCTGTGGGGAGGAAGCGGTGGGCCTTGCTGTGAGCACCGGGCCTGGAGGCCTTCCCAGGAGAGGCTCAGGTCCCTGGCAGGGTTCCCTCTCAGCTGAGTGAGTGTCAGCCAGCTCACCGTTTTTCAGCCTCCGGCTCACAGATTTTTGTCTTAGCTCAGGAAGGAGGGCTCCAGAGCAAACTAATTCATGCAGTAGCCAAATCGCTCGCTCACAACTATAAAGCCAGTAGCTCACAAAGTAGAGTTTTTGCTCACCAGACTCCACAGCTTAGAGGGAACATTGTACCCCCAGGCCACTGACGCAGGCCAGGCAAGTGAGCAGGCCCCCGTGCCCGGCACTGAAAGGCCAGGAAGGCGAGTGCCCCAGGCCCCGCCCGTGCCCCACCTTGGGATCGAAGGCAAACTTGAAGAGCTGCTCCAGGCTCTGGGCATAGGCGCAGGATTTGCCAGTCTCTGTGGCATACAGGATGGTGGCCTTGACACGGCGGGCCATCACGTGCCCCATCAGCTTCGCTGTGATCTTGACCGCACTGCAGAGGAGGGAAGGAGAGGAGGGGGGGAAGCACGCCCAAATTCCACTCCCGGCGCCTGACCACCCCCACCACCCCCGCGCACAGCACTGTGACCCTCCTCCGCCCTCTCCTGGAAGACCCTGCCCTGTACCTGCCCCTCCACCCGGGGCCTGCACCCACCTCCTTCCAGCCCATCACAAACACCTGCAGCTTTGTGTGCAACCCCTTCCTTAACTGAGGCTGTGGCCCTGGAAGGAACACTGGAGCGACCCCTGCGGATCTCTGCCTCCTCCCCCCCTCCTCAGGGGGGCTGGGTGGGGTGGGGGCCAGGCCTGTCTCCTCCCTCCTGTAAAGGGCCAGGCACCCACCCACACGGGCCATGTCAGAAGGCGAGGGGAACCCAGCAGCCCTAGACCTCTGCCCAGCTTCTCTGCAAGAGCCCAGGGCACCAGCTGGGCTGCAGGGACCACCCTGGATCAGTCCAGCCACAGTCCTGGACAGGTGACCGCCAGCATGGCCGCTGTCCCCCTCCCCCTCCCAGAGAGTCCTTTAAATTCAGGAGTCCATTAAGTGCATTTTTCTTCTAACCATTTATACACAACCATTGTTTTTGGAAAATCTTTTCATCCTTTCCTTATAATAAAGTATTAAGTTTATCCAATTCTGCTACTTTACTATTTCTTCTCTTAGAGGTAATCTCTCTAACTTCCAGTATTTAGCGATTAGTAGTCTGGCTGAAGTAAGGATATACGTCAATAAATATATATCGTTTTGTTCAATACCATTCGGGATTATATTCAACAAATAGATTTCTGGTAGTCGTTTTAAATCAATGTTCACTATTTCTATAATTAATTTTTTAACATTTTGCCAACATTTGTATACTTTCCCACACCTCCACCACATGTGACAAAATGTTCCTATATTGTTTTTACACTTCCAACAATTTCTTGAAACTGATTTGTAACATCTGGCTAATTTGTCAGGTGTCCAATACCATCTGTGGAATAATTTATAAATATTTTCTTTAAAGGACATTGCTCTCATTAATTTCATCACCATCTATGTTTTGAACCAATAATCTAACTGGATATTATATCCTATGTCCTGCATCCAAGCTATCATTGAAGTTTTTACTATTTCATCCTGCATATAATCTTCTAGAAGATAATTATATACTTTTTGTATAAGTTTATCATTGGATGGTAACCATATTTTGTCCCAGTCCGACTTTGACGTGGGGAGAGCTGATGGGGGGGGGCCCCATCGGATCCCTCCACATGGTGAAGAAGCCCAAGTGCTGGGAATCCGTTGTGCCCTTGTTGGAAGGACAGAGGCCCTTTCTTCCATGGCCTCTGCAGTCTCCTGGGGGGAGCCCACGAGCATCTGGCTGGCTTGTGGGGTGGGTGGGATAGAGGAGGAGTCCACGAGGCCTCTGAGCAGCAGAGGAGAGCTTGGTGCTGTGCAGACCCCTGAGAGTGTGCCCCGGAAGGAGAGCCCCCCTCCCCTCCCCAAGTGGACGCCGGCCCCAAAAGCAGCAACTTCCCCACCACCACCACCACCAGGACTGCCTTCCTGGAAGCCTCCTTCCTGGTCCCCGGAGACACCTACTTGGCTATCTCCTTGAAGGTCTTCTTCCGGGTGATGGTGGTTCCTTTGGGGGTGTAGACCTTCCAAGCGTCAGGCTGCGGGAACAACAGAGGTGTCGTGGGTTGGACTGGCTCCGCGGAACCCACAGCATTCTCACGCGCTGGACTTGTCATAATGACTCAGGAGTAAAGGAAAGGCACTCCGTGCATGACCAGAGGCACGCTATTCTTTCATACGGGGGCCCCCGTCTTTTTGAGTCTGGAATTCTGATACAGCATCGTGGGCCGCAGCCGCAAAATGACTGCCGCAGGAGGCAGGGCTGGCCACAAAATGGTGGCTGAAGCTGACCTTCCGCCGCACAACGAAGATCCTTGCGCTGTGGTGGCCGCTGCTGCCAAAGCAATTCTTTTAGGAATCTGCACAGCCCATCAAATCTCCGATGGCCAATCAGGAGCCCTGCTGGGCAAAAGCCCCCCCCTTCCCCATATTACCAAAAGGCATTTGGTGGGCACCAGGAAAGCATCACATCTGGCGCAGCGTGTCCGGCTGCAGCCGTGGTCCCTGTCGCAGCCAATGCAGAGGCCCTTTGCGCGTGGCAGGGGGCGTACCTGGTACCAGAAGCCAGGGGAGAGGTGGTAGTTGACCATCTCTTGGTGGAAGACGGGCGTGAGGCTGCCAGAGATGGGGGGCACGAGCCAGACCCAGTCCGCCGGGCACCCCCCTCGCATCCGCTGCTCGTTCTCCAGGTGCTTCATGAAGGACTCGGTCGCCGCGTGGTGGTCCACCATGGTCACCTTGGCCAGCTGGAAATAGACCCGGAGGGGGGACAGGGGTGGGAAACAGCACAGACAGCCATCAGTGAGACCCCATTTCACTGAGAAGCCCGGGTGGCTGAGTGAGACACCCCTGACCCCTCCTGACCCTCGCGGGACCACCCGGGGCAGAGTTACACCCTTGAAGGCGACAGGCTCCGCAGGGTGCCAGGGCAGGATGGGCTGGTGGGCCAAGCGCACTGGAGCCGAGCCATCGGCACAGAGAGAGCCTGGTACGGCCGGTGCTCTGGAAGAACCCAGGCCCACCACCCAGGTGGCTCGCCTCCTGCCCCAGAGCACCCACCCACCCACCCTCGCAGGGGTCCTCTGTGGGGGGCAGACAGACTTGACATTCCAGGCGCCCCACCACGCAGGCGTCCCTCTCTGTCGCTGTTTCCCTTCCCCGACTTCCAGACAGCCCCGCCCCGCCCCACTCACCTGGAAGCTGTGCAGGACAGCCAGGTTTATCTCCACCGCAGCCTTGTCCTTCCAGAGGGATAAGGTCGTCCGCGTGTCCAGCCCCATGCGCTGGCCCACCTCCTGCACCGCGCACACACACACAGGGGAGGGGGACACAGATGTTACAGAGACACTGCTCTGCTTGCCCAACAAAGTATGTGGGTGGGGGCGGGGCCGTGGGGGGGGGCTGGGTCTCCCGGGAGGGCCCCCTGCTGCCAACCCCCCCTTCCCCTGTCCGCTCACTCGCGCATGTCCCGCGCACCCTTGCTCCCAGCCGCACACCCTGCCCAGGGCCCTCAGGGAAAGGTCTGCGGGCAGGGCAGGTGGCTGGGAACGTGGGCAAGCTCTGAACTCTCCCCAGCGGCGGCTGAGTGGACTGAAAGCGTAGACAGTCGTGTTTAGGGGGACTGCCCATTCGGTCTGCCTACCCGTTGGTGGAACCCTCTTCCAGGAGAGACCAGGGCCCTGCGGCATCCGGCACAATTCCACAGGGCCTGCGAAACAGAGCTGTTCCACTGGGCCGATGGCCAAGGGCGTTACCACTGGGCCCCTAGCCGATAAGGCTACGGCTGGTTCTGGCCTCCCGCCTCCTTCCCCTCCCCACTTGCTCCCCCCCCTTTCCCCCTTCTTATTAGACATCTGCAGTGTTCCCTCTAAACTGAGTTAGTGTGAGCTGGCTCACAGTTTTTTAGCCTCCAGCTCGCTGATTTTTGTCTTAGCTCAGGAAAGATGGCTCCAGAGCAAACTAATTTATGCAGTAGCCAAATAGTTTGCTCACAACTTTAATGCCAGTAGCTCACAATGTAGAATTTTTGCTCCGAAGGCTCCACAGCTTAGAGGGAACATTGGACATCTGTATGGTGCCCCCCTTCCATATGAGTTTTATGCCACCTTAAATTGTACAACAGCTACTTTACTGACTTTATCGTATTTACTGAATTGATTAATTGTACTTTGAATTTTTGGAAGGTTTTTAAAATGTATATGCTATAAATCAGTAAAAAACCCAGTAGCACCTTTGCGACTTACAAACTTTATTGTAGCATAAGCTACGATAGTCTTAAAGGTGCCTACTGGGCTTTTTACTATTTTGCAGCAACAGACTAACACGGCCGACTCCTCTGGATCTATGCTGTCAATTGCGGTCACCCATTCTGAGCAGGTTATAAATTGAATGAGAGGGAGAGACCAACCAGCCCTCTCTCTTGAGTCGGGGGGGAATTTCAGACAGCCGATATATTCCGGTTCAGGAACTGTTCCCTAACGGTTTCTGGTCTGACATTTCAGACAGAACTGTTTTAGTAACGGTTCCCTACCGGAATAGATTTTCACTTTCAGACAGAAACGCTTCTGTCCCGTCCAGGAAATGTGGCTGAACCGTTTTGCCTGCAAACTGCTTCCAAGAGGTCTCCCCTTTTCTATACTGCTTCTGAAGCGCTACGGGGTGCCGTGTAAAATGCTCTGTGGCGCTTCCTCCTGCGTTGCTTTGTTTTCCCGCCCTTTTTTGCCCGCAGGGGCGATCTCCGTCCTTTCTTTCTTTCTTTTTTTTGAATATTCATTTTAGAGTGCTATGGCGCTATAACACAAACACCAAAACAGCAACCCCATTGGAATACCTGGACTCCACTGGGATACATGAGATGGCTAAATCTGCCCCCTGGAAACAAGTACCCCATTGGACTGCAGGCTTTGGCAGGAAATCAGGGCATCAGTGATTGATGTGACAGATGTTGCTAACCCTTCCAGCTCTGTACCGATTCACTCCAAGACGGTACAATAACCGCTTTAAAAGGGTCAGGACTATTTTGGGGAGTTCCGGCTGGCTTCAGAGTTGGCCACGCCCACTACAGCCAAAACCTCTGCGTGCATGGCTACAGAGGGAAGGCCTGGAGAGCGACACACACATCTCGGCGACTCCGAGGCAGGTAGGCCGGGGGGGGGCTGGAAGGATCGAGGAGGCATTTAAATGCTTCCCCATGCCTTCCCCAGCCTGTCCCCGGGTGGCTTGCCCAGGCTCCCCACAGCCCAGGCTCCCCACAGCACCTGGGCAAGCCAAGGGAAGGCAGTTTAAACTGCCTCCCCTCCCCTCCAAGGGCCGGCTTACCCGGGGTCCCCACAGCCGCGGGGTGCCCGGGCAAGCCAAGGGAAGGTATGGCGGGGGCATAATATGCTAATTAGCTGTGCTGTCAGGGTGTGGCCTAATATGCTAATGAGTTTCTGCTGTTGGGTGTGGCCTATTATGCTAATGAGTTCCTGGTCAGGGGTGTGTCCTAATATGCTAATGAGTTCCCCACTATATGCCTGTGCTTGCCGTTGGGGGGGGGCAGCTGACCTAGGACTGGCCCCTCTACGGTGGGAACGGGTTGTATTCACACAGGGGTGATGCAGAGGCTCTCTGCACATGGCCCAAGGCTCTTTTCCCTTTATTACCACATCCAGGGCATTAGAAAGAGGTTCCGAAGCTAAGCCCTGCCACAAATTAGGTCAGGCATCTCTCCCAGGCGAGAGAGGCCATCACGGAGGGACTCTGCTAGTTGGCACCTATTAATCTGTTTCATTGGGTGTAAACTGCTCAGGGCTTAGCATTGAACAGCTGGAGGCTGGTCCCTGGCCCTGGATCCAAGCATGCTGCATGGGGGGGGGGAGTTGGGGGAGGAAGTGCCGGAGGACCAGCGAGCGAGAGAGAGAGAGAGAGAGAGAGAGAGCGCAGCATCACAGCCACCCAGGGCGATCAGGCGCAGCCGGGAAGTACCTGCAAGAGGTTGTAGCGGTGGGGGTCGCAGAAGTTCCTCATGCCGATCTCGCTGCTCATGTACCAGCCGCTGAAGGGGGCTGCTGGGAACTCCAGCCCCCCAATCTCCAGCAGCATGTTGGAGACGGCAGGCAGGGCGTACCAGCGCAGGCCCAGCTCCTGGAACCATTCCAGCCTGGAGCGCGCAAAGGAGAGGAAGGGGGTTCCGCGTCAACACGTCCGTTTCCAGGCTGGCACAGGGCACGAGGCCCCGGACTCTGCAGCAGTGCCCAGCAGCACACCCGAGTGGGGAGGAGAGCGGCTGCTGGCTAGACGGTGCCGTCTGGAGCGGTGGACCAGAGAGGTCCTGCTGACGCTGCGGAAGGCGGCTTCGTGTCCGAATCATCCCAAGACCAGGGCTCCTGGCTCTGGCTCCTGCTCCAGGGCCCAAAGCCCAGCAGGCCAATGGCCCTCCCACAGAGCCTGGCTGACCCGCCCCTCTGACTCCCCACAGCCAAATAGAGGCAACAGCCCCCCCCCCTGCACCCTTCTCTGACGCTTGCAGGGCCTGCCAGCTCCCAGCCCAGGAATCTCCTTTCCCCGTGCTCCCCAAGGAAACAGGCAGGGGGGGTGTCCAGCAGAGAGTGGGCAGGAGCGGCAATGCCCCACCCCAGACAGAAGGCCAGGGGATGGGCTGGCTAGCCCTGTGGCAGTGCTCCCTCTAAGCTGTGGAGTCTTGTGAGCCAAAGTTCTACTTTGTGAGCTGCTGGCATTAAAGCTGTGAGCCAGCAGTTTGGCCTCTGCATAAATGAGTCTGCTCTGGAGCCAAGGCAAAAATGTGTGAGCCGGAGGCTGAGAAACTGTGAGATAGCTCACGCCAGTTCAGCTTAGAGGGAACACTGCGGCCTGTGCTGAGTCTGGTTAGGGGCCAGCCCCCTCCCCGGAATTCGAGGGAGCGTCCTTCTTTGTACGCACGCGGGATGGCTGATCGGCACCTCCAGGACCAGTTCAGGGGGCAGAGGAAAGAGTTCGGGGTCTTCGTCGGGGCACTGCAGCAGCAGGGGGAGGACATCAAAGCGGGTGTAGGGTGGGGTCCAGCCATACTGAATGCAGAGCTGGGGAGGAAGAAAGTGTGGAGGATCAGCGGGGGAGGGAGGGACCCAGCAGGCAGAAGAAAGTCTCCTCCCCCCACACCTCCTCTGACTCTCAGTTTGCAGTCCTGGGGGAGCCTGGGGGGGGGGCACAGAATCATAGAATAGAATCACAGAACCATAGAGTTGGAAGGGGTCCAGAGAGACCATCTAGTCCAACCCCCTGCCCTAATGCAGGACCAGCCTAAAGCATCTCTGACAAACGTTCGTCCAGCCTCTTCTTGAAAGCAGCCGGATGTCAGGTAGCCCTGTCATGGATCTGGAATGTGGAGGGGTGCCCTCCTCCTCCTCGTTCTCAGCTCTTCCCTGTCCAGCTACTGTGCGCTATCTCTAGCTTGACCTTGCAGTCTCCAGCTGCATTTACTCCTCTGGGAAAGTAACGGCTTTTTGCTATGCCTGCTTGTTTGGCTTCAGTTCATTGGGGGGGGGTGATGTTTGATTTCACTATAAGTCAGAGGCCCTTATACTGAAGGCTATTCCTGACACAAGCTGTATACGTGATCATTAGTACTGGATCCATCAATAAACAGTTATCTTCTTATGAAGCCCTGCGTGGTGTGACCTGACTCACGTCCCTGACACCGTTCAGCCTAAGGGTGGGGGCCCCTCTACACTTGAGAGTTGCCCGGAGGTGTGAAGGAAAGGGGATGGTGGGGGGGGGACCACTGAGGGCCAGGGAGGGTCTTTCAGGCTCTGCTTCACCCCACACAGAGAAGTCTGCAGGGAAAGGACAGGACGTCCGGGGTGGGGTGGGGGTGGAGTAGTCTTGGGGTGGACGGCCAGGTTCACTTTTGCAGCCTCCAGACTGTCCTGAGGGAACCCAGGAGCTGGGACTCACGCGGCTCTACCCGGGAGAAAGGCCCTCGCCCAGGCCTAGGGTTGCCAACCTCCAGGCGTGGCCTGGAGAACTCCCCGAATTGCAACTGTTCTCCTGGAGACTCCGGGCTACAGAGATCAGGTATCGTGGAGGGGGGGGGCCCTCCTCTCCCCAGACCCCGCCCTCCCCAGGCTCCACCCCCAAATCTCCAGGTATTTCCCAACCTAGAGGTGGCAACCCTGGGCTATGACAACATCGCTTCACATGTTTTACAGCCTCCACCTCCTCTGCTATGGCTGCCAACTCCAGGTTCGGAAATTGTTGGCCGGGTCACCCAGCACGGTGCCGTCCGGCTGCTGATAGCCAGCGTAGCGGATCAACTGGCTGTTCCAGATCCGGAAGTCTCCACGGCCAGCGACCCTCGGCGGGAAGATGGTGATGGCTGACCTGGCGGGACAGAGGAGGCGTGCGGGTAAAGGGTGCCTCTGAACACACCACCACCACCACAGCAGCACTGTGTCTCCACGGCCGGCGACCCGCGGCGGGAAGATGGTGATGGCCGACCTGGCGGGACAGAGGAGGTGTGAGGGTAAAGGGTGCCTCTGAACACCCCACCACCACCACCGCACCGTGAGGGCATATTCCTCCCGGATCTCTCTGTGTCGGCCGGAAAGGCCCCCCCTCCCCCGCCATCCCAGCTACGGGGTGTGGAGCAGAAGGGGTGCCGTATGGCCGGGAGAAGCCACTCACCGGAGGTTGCCGCGGTTGGTTGCGTAGTGGATGTGAGTACACAAAGAGGTGAACATCTCCTGGACGCTTGTGCAATCGCGCGCATCAAACACCTGCAGGGGCAAGAGCAGGAGAGGGCAGGATCCAAGCCCTTCTACAAGTCACAAGACCAGAAGAGAAGCCATGCTGGATGAGCCCCATGGCCCATCCAGTCCAGTGCTCTGTGTCACACAGTGGCCCAAACCCAGGTCCCACTGGATCGGACATCTACGTCTCGCAGCCAGTTTCCAGCAGCGACCGCCGCAGGGTTCCCTCTAAGCTGAGCGAGGGTGAGCCAGCTCACAGTTTCTTAGCCTCCGGCTCACACATTTTCGTCTTGCCTCAGGAAGGGTGTGGCTCCAGAGCAAACTAATTTATACAGCAGCCGAATCGCTCGCTCACAACTTTAATGCCAGTAAGCTCACAAAGTAGAATTTTTGCTCACAAGACCCCACGGCTTAGAGGGACCATTGGTGGCCGGTCAAATGCCCCAGGTGACAATGCTGCACCTGACCCTGGTGGCCCATCTGGCTGTCCTGGTGAACAGCCAACAATAAACCTCTCCTTCATAAGCTTACCCACCCACCCTTCTAAGTCTGTCTAGGCCAATGGCCACCTGACCCTGGTGGCCCATCTGGCTGTCCTGGTGAACAGCCAACAATAAACCTCTCCTTCATAAGCTTGCCCACACATACCCCTTCTAAGTCTGTCTAGGCCAATGGCCACCACCATGCTTTGTGGCAGGGAGTTCCACAAGCCACGGTATGAAACGGCGCTTCCTTTAGTCTTGGATCCACGGCCAAAGAATGCTGGAGAAGGATCCTTTGTAGCTGCTTTCCCCACCCTAGGCATTGTTTTGCACCCCCCAGATCTCTTCTAAGCTGAGAGCCCCCCCAAGCAGCAGCCTCGATTCACAGGGCAGGCGTTCCAGCCCTGGGGGGTCCTTTGGGGCCTGCCACTCCCCGCTCCTGGGTGTCCCTTTTCAGAGGCAGCAGCCAGAACTGGACGCAGGAGTCCAAATGGGGCCTGCCTGTACAGGCACGGCCTTCCCAGCGGCTTTATTCCCGGTTCCTGGCACTTGCCTTGCCTGGAGCCCGCCCACTGGGGCACTTTCGCAGCCCACTCCCCACCACGACCCCCCACCCCCCCAGGTCTTTTCCTCCATCTGTCGCCAGCATCTCCGCATACGTGTGAAATCAGGATTCCTTCTGTCGTTTTTGCTTCCCCCTCACCCCGCTGGGGGAAGGCCCTTTTGGAGCCCCCCACAATCCCCTCAGGTTGTTCCCACCATCCTGAACAATCTGGTGTCACCTGCCAACTCCCAGTTCCAGATCATTTGAGAGCATATTAAATGAAACTGGTCCCAACAGAGACCCCCCCAGGAGATCTGGCCAGAGATGGCACTGCTCACCTCCCCCCCCCCACTGTGGAAACAGCCCACCCTCTGCTTCCTCTTTCCAACCAGTGGCCAATCCATGAAGGGATGGAGAGGGGCCGTGGCTCAGTGGTAGAGCATCTGCCTGGCAGGCAGAAGGTCCCACGTTCAACTCCCAGGAATTCCAGTTTAAAGAA